TTATATTTAAATAAATTCTAATATCTAATAACTTAATTAAATAAGATAGAATTAAAATTTTATTTTGAAAAAATAATCTATTAATATTTATTTGATGTACCAATCTTTTTGCACTGGACCATATTTATATATTATTTAACAGATCATTTATCTATTTATAATATAGCATATTCATGTGAGATCAATATTTAATCAACAATTTCAAGAATAAAATGCTGACGAATTAATTCAAATTGATCTAATCTTGCTTGAAGAAGATCACAGTCAAAGCAAAACTAAGCCAAAAAGATTAATTCGAAACACCATTAATAGATTTTATGAGTCACTTTCAAAGCTATTTCCTAAAAAGCTATGTGATTTGCCGCCAGATTGGGCTTGAAGGTCTTTTTTTTGATCATTAATAACATTCTGTAATTATTGTATTGAAAATGATATTGTAAACAAATCCCTTTATTCAGAAATGATGATACAATTGAAGAAGGTAAGCTGTTGATTGATGATAGTACTATTTACATTTTTTCTTTGCGCTTTGTCAATGTTACAATGTTATATTGAAAGATTTCTTTTATTTAGGAACAAGAAAGCAAACGGAATGAACAAAGGTAAACTTTACTTTTTTCGATTTTATGCTGTTTTTTTTTAACATTGTATTCAAGAGAATCTCTCATTTAGAATCAGAGTGAGCCAGAATTATCATTTTAATTTCATCTATTTAGCCTTATTGTTCATTTTTGACTTCTTTTCCTATCACATTACCTTTATTTTTATATATATTATACTGGAACATGTAATTTGAAATTACTATTAAATAAATATATTCATATAATTGACCATAGTGTTACCACCTGATGATTAACCTGCAGTTTTATCCGAAGATTTACTAATATTGCTTATGATCTTACCCGTGGTTTAGCCAAAAATATTGATATGATTTAGAATTTTGACCATTTTGACATAGAGTCTAAATATGGGTGAAACAAGGTGAAAAATTTGCCTATATTTTTGCCGTCGGATTTATCGCAGTGTAACCCTCGATATTTACCCATGCTTTATGTCGATTTTTGACCGGGGGAAACTCACCTTGTTCGACCAGTATATATATTTAAAATCAAAGATAATTTTTATTATAAATTTTTTTTATTGTTGTGTTTTTGAAAAAAATTCTAAAATATATAAAAAATTATTTAAACAATATTCAAATAATTAATTTAAACTAGTTAATATTTTTATAACTTTGAAAAGTCATTCTAAAGTGAATAATTTAAGAGCTAAGTTGATTTTACTAATTCAAATATATTTTTTAAATAAAAACTAAAGAATGATTTTGTATATGAAATTATTTTGTATTTTACTTAGAATTGTATATAAAATACAAATAAATTTTAGTAAAAGAGTTTAGTTTTATTAGTTTTATTAATTTATAATCTGATAAATAGATATCGATAATTGAATAAAAAGTCAATTTTATAAATAATATAATTAATAGTTTGAGTAATTATAACTTGAATAAATTATAATTTATATCAGCTGATAAATTTTATATATAATGTTTATAATATTTCATTTTATTAAAGAATTGGATATCTGAATGGGAATATATATAATCTTTTCACTAAAACTAAATATTAGAAAATTGCATATCTAGACAGTTTGAAAAATTTCTACTTAACATTATTTAATATTAAAGATTGACTTAAGATCAAGTTTAGAGACATAGAAAAGATTATAAGGGAGATCGGGATATTTTGACGAAGTCATTATATCTCGAAAGGTATGTATTATGCATATCAGCTGGTGCTATGATAAATTAATAAAATTCAAAAATTTACAAGAAACATTTTTTGTTAGACACAAAAGCTAGACGAAATTTCGAGATATGAGATACGTTGATCTGATTCTCCGAAATTGAAGTGTGTAGGATCGTTTTTCGGTCACGTGATGAGCACAAATCATGTCGGAAAACTTTAAAATTTTCTCTATATTAGGATTGAAATAGGATTAGATTATAGTATTAGGTGCTAATATCCGATTTTTTCAAAATGAGCGTTTTGAATTTCTTATGTTATATCCGATCCTAATTTTTCATTGGCTATATATGATCGGATTATCACGTAATCAGAAAATCGACTCTGCGACCTGCGTTGTTCTCTACATGAGTGAAAACGTCATATACACCGGATTTACTAATATGAACACGTTGTAAAGGACTTTGACTGTATATCATCTTCCATGTGATAAATAATACACGGTACGGGTGTCTAAATATTTGCAATCGATATTCCAATATAGGGGTAACTATGTTTTTTATGCGAATCTGGGAATTCGTGGATCTATCGTACTGTTAGTATTGTATATTTCAATAAACGGTTTTTAATATAATTGATCGTAATACAAACCGGAATAAAGTGGAAGTTAATTTTTTTATCTGTTTTTTAACAAATATCGATATAAATCAGAATTGATTTGCAAATAAAAATTTTCATTTTGGTTGTTTCTTTGAATTATTTCATAATTCATAATCATTTCACGCACTTGAAAATTCCTGTCACTGTAAACAACAAAGATCATATCAATGCCAACAAAAAATTAGCAGTAACCATTCATTCTTTCTTCTTCAATAAAATCCTTCAAGAAATAATTCCATCCCTGGTCTACAACATACTCAAGAAACACAAATCCTGTATTTATTAAAACCTGGCGGACGTCTGCAGGCCAAATTCGAAAGCAATACGAATATTTCAATTTTTTCTGACGCAAAGAGATTAGGTATGAACGCAAGTGTTATTAATATATTAAAAAATATTTGGCATTTTTTTTATTTTCAATATTATTTTTTGTTCAAAAAAATTGGGTTTATGCAAAAGATAATCTCATATACTCATTCATGTCAGTCGTGATAAGATACGCCTCATGATTTATTACGATTGGAGCGATTGGAGTGCAGAAATTATTGATGCTGCGGTCAATTTAATTGACTTGCAGAAAATTACCGCAGCATGACCGCAGCAATAACAATGGTCTTCTTGTATATAAAACTGGTGAAATTAAACAAACTTTTATTATAATACCTTAATAATAAACAACAATACTTTTATTCTATAATCTCTCAATAATAAAAACAATAACGAATAAATAATAATATGGAAATCACAAAAATATTCTTCGATAGTCTTCCATCCACCACCATTGAGCATTTTCAGGATGCCGATATCAAAGATTATATTTCAAGTGTTCTTGATGAAATCGAATCGGAATTTCAATCCTCATCCAGTAATAATACTAGACAATTAGTGACTTCTGTTCGAGAAGCAACTGAGAATTTTTTATTGGATGCTGGAATTGAGAATAGTGCTATCGATACATTTTATGATTCTTGTGAAACTTGCTTTAATGAAAAACTAAAGCACCAAAATGTCGAAAAGATTATTAATGATGTAATAATTTATATTTATACAGTTAAAATACTATTTTTTAGCTTTAGTCTCAATACTATTTTATTATTATTTTAAAGGTTTCAAAGTTGAATGTGGAGATTAGTAAAAATAATGAGATCGAAACGAAAAATTTCGAGGCGAATATTTCTTCGATATCCAACAAGATCAGCAGCAATAATAAAAAAGAAAACACAAAGAAACCATCGACTAAACCATCCGAAAATTCAAAGAAATCTATTTCTTTGGATCCGAATGAAATTTTTGCTTATTCGCAGCAATCGAGATTTCATACAGAAACCCTTGAAACTTTGTCAAAAGAGGTATTTTTTTTTCTTTCGATAATTTGATTTCTTCCTCTTTATCGATTATTTCAATTGTAATTTTTAGGTGGATTTGAAAGATGTTAATATTACAATTGGAAATAAAGAATTACTGGTAGATTCGCGCCTGCAATTAAAGACCGGAATTCATTACGGGTTGATTGGTAGAAATGGAGTTGGAAAATCAAGTTTGTGTTTTAATAATTTAACTTTTATTTTCTTCAAACGAATTAACATTTTCAAAATTCATTATAAAAGCGCTTTTAAAATGTATCGGAGATGGTAATTTAATCGGTTTCCCCAAAAATATTCGAGTTCTCTACATTGAGCAATTAGAAAGCATCAACGAAAAAGAGAATGTAATAGATATCGTAATTCGTGCTGATAAAGAACGAACTCGTCTACTTAACGAAAAAGAAATTCTTCAGTTTGCAGTCGAGAAACAAAATGAGCAAAGTGTTATTGAAAATGCAGTCAAACGAGTACGAATGGAAAGGCTGCAACGAAAATTAGAATTGGCCGAACAGATTGCTATTAAACGAAGTGGTAGACGAGGAATTGAAGCACGAAAAGAGCTGTTAGAGGCTGAAGCGAAAATAGATGAGGCCAAAAAGTATGCGAGTTTATTGACTCAATTAATTAATTAAAAGAGATAATTCATTCTATTAATTTCAATTTTGTAGAGCATTACTGTTAAATCAAAATGATGAAGGGCTGAATGAAGATTATAATAAAATTGCACATGAGCTTTTGGCTGAAATTTATGAAAAACTTGATCAGGTACTATTGTATATCCATACATACACGTGTATAGTTTGTATACTGTAAAAAAGCAAGGCTATATATATATATTATAATTTTATACTTTCGTATAATAATAAATAGATTGGTGCTGATTCTGCAGAAGCAAGAGCTCAAGAAATTTTATCAGGTTTAGGCTTCTCACATAAACAGCAATATTCTCCTTGGACTGCTTTATCTTCACTTTCTGGTGGTTGGCGTATGCGCGTAGCATTAGCTCAAGCGTTATTTTTGGAACCGGATATCTTATTACTTGACGAACCAAGTAATTTTATATGATATTTATACATTATCGTTTAATTATCTCAGCAAATTAACGTTAATGTATCTTTTTTGTAATACAGCTAATCATTTGGATCTTCCAGCGATTCTCTGGTTACAATCATACTTGAATACGCTTGTCAACACAACGTTAGTTATTATTTCGCATGATCGTCACTTCTTAAATAAGACCGTCACGGAAATAATTCGTTTCAAGGATGCGAAGTTAACTTATCATGTCGGTAATTACGAAGAATTTGAAGAGAATTTAATGAATGAACGGTTAATGAAGGAGCGGATGCTTCAAAGTCAAGAAAAACAAAAGAAACATATTGAAGAGAGTATTCAGAAAGCGCAAAAGAAAGCTCGTGAAAGTGGAAATGATAAACAATTGAGCGTGGTTGCAAGTCGAAAAAAGGTAATTAATCAACTTTCTAACGTGTTTAGGATTAATTATAAAATATAAATATTTATAATAAATATTCAGAAATTAGAAAGGTTTGGTATGAATAGAAGCGAAGCCGGCTTTAGATTCAAACTTTCACGAGATCGAATAGGATATTATAATTCAGTAAGAGGTGAAATTACGGTTGATCGTGCTGAAGCCTCATTAAATTGGTCGATTCCAAGTCCAATTCCTCTTCGACAAAATACCTTTTTGGTACAATTAGAAGAAGTTTCTTACGTATACCCAAAAACGAAAACTCCGGTAATTCAAAATTTCACTCTACACATCGAGCAAGAAAGCCGAATTGCGTTCATCGGAGCAAATGGCGGCGGCAAATCAACTCTAATGGGTCTTTTAGCTGGTAATCTAACACCAACACGTGGCACAATCACGCGTAATCCACGACTAAAACTTGGATATTTCGCACAACATCATGTTGACGCTCTCGATCTAAATATTTCCGCTGTGCAACTATTCATTCAAAAATACCCGGGGACTTCCGAAGCAACCACACGGGCACATTTAGGCGGATTCGGAGTTTCAGGAGACTTGGCTGTTCTTCCGATTCGACAACTTTCTGGTGGACAAAAGAGTAGAGTCGCATTTGCGATACAAGTGTTCGAACGGCCACATTTACTGTTGTTGGACGAAATCACTAATCATTTGGATATGCATACTATTGAAGCGGTGGTTGGCGCATTACACAAGTTTGAAGGTGCTGTGGTGGTGGTTAGTCATGATCGATGGTTTGTTGAGAATGTGGCGGATAGAGTGTTTATAGTAGGAAAAGGACGTGTAAAAGAATGTGAAGGTGGTGTTGAAGAATATACAAAAATTGTTGCTAAAGAGATCGGTGTTGATATTGACGATTTTTAATCTATAGTTTTATTATTAGTATTTGTCTTTTGAGATTCTAAAATAGCATTTATCCTTTAACAAGCCTATCATGTTTGTTACAAATTCCGGTATCCATGTATCAAAATCTTTATTACGAGCGTTATTAAAAATTCATTATTCAAATCCTGCCGCGAAAAAATCTATTGTAGGTCAAAACTATTTTACACTTTGCAAAATATCTATCGTGATTTTTATATTCTCAGCATTAGATTTTTGCATTAACAAAAGCATTAATAACTACGGATAATAAAACTAAAACTAATGATTACGATAAAATATGACGATAAACTAATGTTTTTGTAATTATTATGCTAATAATAGAACGATATTGTTTTTATTTGGTCTTGCGATGTTCAACTTCACCACCACCAGCAATAACTCCTACACGTAACATCGACGTCAGATTACGTGCGGCATTCGAATGATCGTAAACGCCACCATTAAATGCTGTGGTCATATCCCGACCTATTGACGAGGTAATGAATGCCTTACCACCGGGATGCTCGTCGATAAAGTTTGTGACGTCATGAATTATTCCTTCTATTAGAACCCAATTTTTGGTCTTTGATATTTCTTGAACTATGCACAATTGATTGATTTTTTATTAGTTTTTTTAACAACCATAAAATACTAATATTAATAATTCGCACTTACATTCTTCAAATGTGAATATTGGCAATTTTTCCAGTGGAACTCCCCAATTTAAAGTTCTGCGTTTAGCATCCAATTTCTTTTGTTGCATGAACAGTTGACCTTTTGCCACTTCGTTATCTGGGAATCGTTTTAGATGCGTCGAAAGTCCAAACCACGAACAAAATTTAATCAACCATTTGGTTGGGTCGTATTGATAAAATCGGATAGCATTACGGTAGTCCTGTGGGAATTCGTGATGGAAATTATGATATCCTTCACCCATGGTCAAAATTGCCGTAATAAAATGGTCACGCGGCGTATGTTTATCATCATAAGTCGTATCACCAAGATAATGTGCCAGAGAATTTACACAAAAAGTAGCATGATGAACAACCACGAGGCGTGCGATTGCTGCGAAAAAGAATCCACCTCGCCAGTCACCCCAACCAAGACCCGTGACTGCCATTGGGAATAATACGCCGAATGTTAGTGCGAATAGACCGTAATAACGGTGTTGGAAACTTAATAGAGGGTCAGCATTCAAATCTGAGATATCGGAACGGCCGATTCGTTGTGGATTTTGTTTGAGGTACATCCATCCCACATGCGAGTAAAGAAGACCACGATGAGCATTATAGGGATCACGATCAGTGTCGGTATAACGATGATGAGCTCTGTGGTCACGACACCACCAACGCGCTGAACCTTCTACTGCTCCTGATGCACATGCTAGAAGAAACAGCTTAAGTGATAGAGATGCTGTGTATGCTCGATGAGCCCATAATCTATGATAACCTAGAATAATAATTCACATGTTTTAGAATTTTTGCAAAATAAAAGGGGGGGAATGGCACATATTACGTCATTATGAGTTGATATCACATTGATAATTTATCATGTGATTTGATGTCACGTGATATTGATTTTCATAATTACGCCATGTGCTACTTCCCTAATGTCAAATGTTAATGAATGAAATATCTTTTTACCCGCTGTAATCCCAATTCCAGTACAAAAATACCAGATAAAGGACCAAATAAAGGTTTTTAGCAAAAGTGGCGTTGTAAAGAAACCGTAGATAGCTATCAATGGAGTAGAAGTCAACAGAACTGCATGTAGCCAATTTACGTGTTTATACCAATTTGCCAGCGTGATTGGATCATCGAGGTAAGAATGTTTTCGTGGTTGTTGCAGTAGCTTCATTTCTTTGGTGACGAAGTCTTCTGTGTTTTGTGGAGATACTGTCATCGTCTGTGTCGTTGTTGTTATTGCCATTCTGAGAGGAGGAAAGAAAGGGAGGATATTCTATATACTTCGATAAAAATGTGGTCGTGTGGCTATCGGGGAAAGCTTGTTTCGCCTCTTATAGCACTTATGAGGATAATATAGTCTCGATTTTAACAATAGAAAAAAAGAATAAAACGATCAAAAGATCTGTTTGGTTATCTTGATAATTGTAAACTTTATCATTAAATAACAATAATAATTGACAATTCTTTTCGTATTTAAATTTCTTTAAACAGAAAAAAATGAGAGGTGAACGTTACAAAAAAAAATGAAGAGGCGGGCGCTTATATAGAGACAAGAAACATGCGCGTGTCTGTGTCGATGTTTGATTTACGTGTCAGTCTAGCGCATCTGTCTATCTAAAAGAAGCTGTTTTTATTTACGTGTCAATTTTATCTGTTTAAATAATCTGTTTTTGGATTGTTGGGGCAAAATAAATCAAGGTTAGCTACTACGCTTACAATAATCATCGTCATAATAAAAAAAACCCAGCAACGTTTTAATCGTAAATATAGAAGCTTTCTCACAATGAGAATTCATTAAACTGCAGCATAAACACCGATTTCATTGATTAAATATTAATCTGATATCATTCAATTCAATTCAATTCAATTTAATTTAATTTAATTTAATATATATTACACTTGTCAATAGAAAACAAAACTGAAAACGCATTGACAGATACGGATGTTCATTATTTGGGGCGTGCGAATACACAATATATCTGCCATTAATATCATGCTTAGAAAGCACAAGAGTATAACGATAATAAATTATTATCTAATTAAGCGTTTGTATTAACTGATAAAAAATTATAATAATCTATGTATTTTGGCATTCACATTTAAAAAATTTGCCCCAAAAAAAATCCAAGACTTTAATCACAATATGAACAATATGAATCGATCACTTATCAGAGACAAGTTTTTGTTGTTGATTCCCCCAAAAACGTTTCTTTAAAAGTCTGTGACTTCTTCAAATAATGACGATAAAATGATCTCGTGCATAAACTTAAATAGAAAGAAAAGTCAAAAAAAGAAGCACGTGTAAATCACACATGTGAATGTTTCTATTATACGATATATTTTTAATTTACAAAAAAGAATGTTAGATTAACTCATTGAATTTATTGCGTAATTCCCCAAAACTTTAAATCCCCTCCTCCCCATTATCCGATTCTCCTAAATCCCTTCTCCCGACGATCGGTACTACTCGACGGCAACGAAAAAGTGATGTGATTTAGTTTTCCATCATTGTTTCGTTATCGACAGATGATCCGATCAGGCAGCGTAATTTTGGGGGAGCTATCAGTGACTAAATCCATGCACATGTATTTTCTTTCAAATAAGGGTCCAACATTTGATTTACAAACAGAAATATATAAAAATAGAAACTTGTTTCTTGCTTAAATTACCCACTCTAATAAAAAAAAGGATAAAAATGTGTACATTATTTTGGGCTTTGCAATATCATCCTCAATATAAATTGTAATTTATATAATCTATTTTATTTCTGAAATATTATATTATTATAACCATAATAATATATTTTTACAGTGTTTTTGCGGGTAACCGAGACGAATTCTTATCCAGACCAACAGCACTAGCATCCTGGTGGAACAATTCTACAATTTTGGGTGGACGTGACCTGCAAAATCCTCAAAATGCCGGTACTTGGTTAGGCATTAACCGGTATGGCAGATTCGTAGCAGTCACAAATTATCGAGGACCAAATCAGATCCCAAAAGTCAAAACGGTAATTGACGAGGATAAAAGTTTAGAATTGATCGGATCTAAAACAACAACAACAACAACAACAACGACTATTGAAAATATTCAAGGACAATTAGTCTCGCGTGGAGTTTTGGTAAAGAAGATTCTTGAGTCACAAGAAAAGCCATTGGACGAGATTATGAGAGTGGAGATTGAAGCGACAGCAGAAAATTATGGCGGGTATAATATCATCGCGGTGGACCTTGCAAACCAGGAAAAAAATAAAACCACAAATGAGAATAATGACGACATTGATTGCCACATGTTCTACTTCGCGAATAGACATAATATCAGATTACAGACTTTAAGAAATGGCGAAATTTATGGTATATCGAATTCTGTATTAGACGATCCTTGGCCAAAAGTTGAGATGGGAAAACGCGAATTTCGAAAGATTCTAGAGAATAAAACATTATCAGAAAACGAGTTGATCAATGAATTGTTTAGACTTTTAAGGTATTATTATTATTGCTATTATATTATTATTATTATTATTATTATTATTATTATTATTATTATTATTATTATTATTTATGTGCAACATTATTAATGCTAATAGTGTAGCGTAATCTCGTCACATATTGAGGATGATACTATTATTAATATATTGGCGTATTTAATAATAATAGCATTACGATACCATTTAAATCAACTACGTCCACTATACCCGAAATATTGGAAGATATCCGATTTACCATTCATGTACCCGAATGTAAAATACATGAGACTTACGCCACACGAACTAACACGATAGTTTTGGTGGATCACTCAAATCGCGTGGTTTTCGTTGAAAGAACAGTACATGATGAGACACGCGCTAATAATTATTGTTATTCCCACATCAGTAGAGATCGTTTTAACCCCGATAATGTTATTACGTCTGATACACTTATTCCTATTAAAGGCAGCAATGAGAAAGAATCATCCGAAGAAATTACTCAGCAGCAATTTTTTGAATCAAATAATCATAAGAGTCGAATTTTTCAATTTAAAATTCAAAGAAATGTGATTAATTAATTAGTATCACACAGAAAAGGAAGAAAAAATAAAGTGGCATTTCATTTCATCCCTTTTTTTTTATGATAGTCGTTTATTTTATATTATACACATGTACTTTATATTTGATTTGAATGCAATATATTGGGTTGATATTTAAGCCTTCTTATAAAAAACTGAGGCTTCCGTTGTACAACCGGATGCAATTATCGTATGTTTTTTTTTAGAATGTTACAAAGCAAGTTTCATTCATTACGCAATAAATCATCTCATTCCCTTTGTTTTATCACAAGCCAAATAAGGCAAATGGTAATTAGTTATGTAATTGTATCGTATCTTTGTTTGCTAAATGCACAAGCTTGTGATTGATGATTTAAGGAAATTTTTAAGAGATTGCCGATTTCATATTATCGATCACGTATAGCTGCAAATCTGAATCTACAGAAAAATGGAAAAAAACGAGTCATGAATTTGGAAAAAAGGCGTCAAAGAGATAGTTTAACGTTAATTGGCGTTGAAACCAAAAGATTTCATCAAATTATCTTCTATTTACGAGTGATGTATGATATCTCATGAAATCGAATTTCACGGTTACAAATTAATGAATAACAAAATAAATTTTGTTTTGGGCCGTGAGAAAATATCTCAAATTCAAAAGAATCTGGTGCATCCCACGTGTTCACCTTCATCTTCCCCTTCTCATCGTAAATGCTTAACATATTTTGTTATATTCTTTCGTAAACCTTACTTATCCTTTACAGAAGAAATGAGATTTGATTGCTGTGATATTTCCATAATTTCACGAAGATATTTATCTTCATGAAATTAAATTTCTGATCGCTTAGTAAACTTCCCTTATACACTCATATGCACACGACACGCAATTTGATCACTTATTCAAAAATCTTCGAGACCGATGTTTTTCACGACGAATTATTGTTGTCATTGCGATTGTTGCAAACAATTCGAATTCACATATTTACAAAGTAAAATCGCCGACCGAATGTAGCATAGGTAATCAAGATACTCGTAATCTCAAAGCTTAAATAAATCATTGTTGATATGCTTGGTAAAATTGAACGTTAAATTCTTTTATCTTCAGTTTCCGTTGCTCCAAAAGACTGTCTTCATGTTTTAGAAATTCTTGAGGAACTTCAGCGCCTGGCGCAAAATTTGTGTCGAATTCTATTTGTTCTTCATATTTTATATATAATTGACAGCAGGCCCCAAAAATAAGTATCTTTATTTCTTCGGCTTCTTTGTTGATTCCAAATTGGTCAAAATAATTTGTGTTAACTTTTGAACAACTTATTATGACTAAAAATAATATCACTGGTCGAAAAACCATGTTTTATTAGACAAATGATGGTAAGCAATATGTTGTTTATTTAACCTTGATATTGTAAAAATAATCTTTTTTCGACCAGTGCATCGAGATACGGAACATGAGAATCAATTGAAATTTTTTCCAAAATTACGCAAGAGGATATTATATTCATCATCAGAATCCTGATGAAATATTATACAAAGAATAATAAATTTTTTTCATTGCTGTAATAAAGACATTTTTAAGTGAATATGAGATTCTTTTATCATCACTTGTAGATGCATTCATTGATTTGTTTTTTACATATAATTATCGAAAAAAAATATTACTATCTTGTTCTAGGTTCAAATAAACCTCTCTGACTTGAGAATCAGTATTCTGTGCTACTTTCTAGCTTCCTAATTGAGTATCGGCGCCGCTCCCTTCATTTGCAGCCCGTGAATCGGTCGCAAAAAATGTTGTGATGGTCTCGTTCCGTGAACTCTCAGTAGACTGATGTTTTAACTGACAAGAGATGCATTATTAACATATAGCGATGGAAAAAGTGCGAGAGCAAAAAATTTGTGCTGATTTTTTCGTCAATGACAAGTTATATATGGCACATGCAATTGGAAGTATGGTGTTATCACGAGAGCAATTTTGGTTATCGAACTAGAAAGTTGACAAGCATCGTCTATAATTAAAGCAACTAGGGAAGTAAATTCAAAATCTAGAAAGAACCGTATACCGATATAAAAAGTTTCAATTATCTTTGTAGTCATGGACTATAAAGGGTAGGTTATATGTTTCTTTTAGTGAATATTATATTATAACAATACTAAAGTGTGATTCGATAAAGAGACATACATTATCGCATTTATAAATCAAAATACGTGTTTAGATCGAGAATTCAAAATTTTTAATATTGAAACACTTCCAAGTTGGACTGAATGTATCATAATACAATTCACATTGTTTTCTATTGTATTCAACCCAAGTATCTACTATGGAAATTTTCTCTTCGTTTAGCGATATGAATGTTGACAAACTGATCGAAAAGAATCAAATAAAAAATCAATAAAAATAACAAATCGCTTAATGATAATGAACTTGTTCATTTCGATTTTTTTCTCTTGGCCAAATTATGTTTAATAATTATCAGCATCTTATTATCAGCAATTCTTTCTATTCTTATTCTTGCGACTTCAGTAAATAAATTTTAGAAATTATTAAAACAGATAAAACATTGAGCAATCAAACGCTACGAATCAAAAAGATATAGTAATGAAATTGAAAGCTTCCATTTTCGTAAAAAAAATGGATGTAAGAGATTAGAGAATTTTTCGACAAGTCTCTCAAGTCAATCAAAAAGAATTTGACATGCGCACTAAAAATAGCATTCAACGAATGCCTTCCAAGATTTGCTGAATAATATTTACATGGTATGATGATGGTTAGGGAAAGATAGACTTCAAATGAATCATCCTATCAAGGAAGATAAAAATAATCATCATCATCATCATCATCATCATAATAATAATAAAATGATGATGATGATGAAGGAAATCTGACCAAGAAATAGCACTGCATCGGTTTCTGGAAAATTGTCCAAAAATTCATTTTTCTAATTATGCATTGAATGAATACTAATGAATACTAATTTTGCCTGATGGATTTGCGGAACTAAGCCAGAATTGCGCACACTCGTAATAGGTTTTCGTGGTCATCCTCAAAAATATCTTTCCCGATTCACAGGATACGAGGACGCGCCGGATACTAAAAAGGAATTAAAACAAGAAACTTGAAGGTAGGAAAAATTACAAAATTTGCGATTGTAGGTCGCTATTATTATATTTGATTATTTTTAGTATATGGGGTCTCGACAGATCGATCTTACACTGAGACCACAAGCAAAGATACCAACATTCGTATTCACTTAGGAACCGAGATTTGTGTGTCAAAGACAGATATAAATTTGACAATTGCTAGAAATTTTTCGAATCCCTTAACGAGAATGATATTGTGTCGTAAATCACCTGATTTTTACCGGGAAGCCGAGAGAATATTAGATACCGAAGCAAAGGGTTTTTGAAATGACTACAGGAGACGATCATAAATAATTTGAACGGTTAAAACGAGAAGATTCACTTCCAAAAGAAATATCGTGCCAGCTTCCTTCGGAATCATTTGTACACGCAAGAAAAACTTTAATGATTATCATTGGTATTTCTAAAAAAGGCAACAGCTCGGACTAACCCTAACAATTTAATTTAAATATATATATATTAAATGGTGTTCACTTTTGATCGTGTGTATCTGTGTTTATATTCTGATTATGGCAAAAGCTAAGAACAATTAGTGTTTTATGTGTTATTGTATATAGACTTGTGTGTTTCGTTCGCTCGCCGTAACTGGTAATTTCGATTCACTCCATACGATCAAATCTAAAACTAAACAGGGGCTAATGGCATCATAGAGACACGTACGCTCTTTTTTATGTACGTATTCGAAATTTTTAGACGTATTCATACATGTACATGTATTTGGTAATTATGCACGTGAAGAATGCAAAGTTGTTAAGTCACATGTGGTTAGTTAAAAATTGTAGGCCGAAAAATTTAGAAAATCTATCGCTATTTATGTATTTTTACATTAAAGAATTAAATAGGGAAAGTGTGCACGTTTTTCCTCGATTTTGGGTCATTGATTCAACATCCAGCTATAAGCGTACGTAAGCGTTCATCCACAAATACCTGAGCCTCACTGACCGACTGATTGACTAACTGCCTTACCGCTTTTCGTAAAGCAGCCGTTATAGGAGTCTCCGCACCTGTTATTTGTAATATATTAATTTTAAGCAAAAGGAGTCGTCGCCGCCGCCCTTCGTCGGTCGTCTTTAGTCTGAAAATAATAATAATAATAATAATCATCATACGAAGAAGAAATAAATAATAATCATTAGGATTATTATTTTATTTATATTTATAATTTTTAGCTATTAATTAAACAATTATAAACCCACTCACCTCAATAAACAAACCAAAAACAAAAATAATACATTAAACTCAGCAGCTTTTTGAGTAAAAGAGAAAAAAAGATGGAGGAAACATTGAGTGAACGATCAATAGTTGTTAGTTTTCGCCCGTCGAATGGCAAACTTTTTGATTGTAGCTTTGATCCTTCTCAAATGACGGTATTGCAATTAAAAGAGAAGTTGGCCAGGGAAACTAATATACCGGCTGATAGTATGAGACTTGTATATTCTGGTCGAATTTTAAAGGATGAGGATATGGTAGATTCATATGGTGAGTTTCTAGACGCAACACCAGTCGGCTAAATATTAAGTAACATATACAAGAATAAGAAATTTGGACCTATCTCGCGTGCCAATTATGATTCCTCGGCATTTTTTGGCTCGCTAGCGCGGACATTGTAGAGAGAAAAATCAGTAGTAAATTTCAACATCCGACCAGCCATTCAAGTTTCAATTTACTGATGATGATAATTCAAATATACAATTCAATCAAATTTCAAATTTCCCCCCCCCAACAATAATAGGTGTAAAAGAAGGGCATACAATACATGTGGTACGAGGGGCAGCGAACCAGGCCGCCGAGCAGGCTGCTGCTAATTCTTCGTCATCAGGTGGAGCTTCTAGATATGCTACTCCTAGTACTTCTAGTTCTCCTGCGTCGTCGTCATCTGTAAATCCTTTTAGTAACCCACCACCAACACGTCAATTAGGTTCAAATTCCAATAATTTCGAACAAGATCTAATGAGGGGAATGATGAATTCACCAATGATGAGGGTATTGTATATTCGCTTATATATTATAATTTTTCCCGTGTTCAATAAAAAATAACGTTTACCTTGTTGAGATTGCTTGCATAATTGTAAGTTATGCATATGATTGGAAAATTAATTTTTTGATTATTTTGAAGCAAATATTGTCAAATCCAGAGATAGTAAGATCGATGGTAATGCAAAATCCAACGATGCGGCAAATGATCGAGAGGAACCCTGAAATTGGTCATATAATTGTAAGAATCTTAGACGAATCCTGTTTGTTGACTTTGAATCAGTTCTTCTTTCTCCCTATTTCTGATCGTTATTTTTTTATTTCAACTCATGAATTCTTTCATAGAACGATCCATCCTTTATTCGTCAGGTTTGTTTATTAATGCACTTTTTATTTGGAATTCTGTATAGAGATCATTAAGTTTTCGAATATTTTTTATTTTGATGTTTAGACAATGGATATGGCACGCAACCCTGAACTCATGAGAGAGATGATGCGAAACAATGGTATATATTCATATGATTATTTCTCATCTTACGCATTTATTCTTTGAGCATTAATTATTAATTGGTAAAAAAAACTCTTCAAGATCGGGCATTGGCAAATTTGGAAACCATACCTGGCGGATTTAATCATCTTCGTAGAATGTATCATACTTTACAAGAACCATTAGAGTCTGCAGGGCGGCATGTAAGTTTTATGGGTTCTTATAACATAGTTACCTCGGTAATAAAACACAATTAATTATTTGATCTATCTAATAATTATTAGAGTGATAATTCATCGGAAGCTGCAAACCAGCGTCTCGCGCAAATGTTAAATGTTGAAAGTCCACCAGGTATTTGACATTCGAATACCGATATGCCAAAATATTGATTCAGTAAAACTTGAATGCCTTCTCAAATTTTAATAGAGGGACAAATAAATAGTACGCCTCTTCCTAATCCCTGGGCACCCCGCAATCACAATAATAGCGGATCTTCATCAACAACAACTGGTTCATCTTTATCTCAGACGAATCCTTTTGGTGGTAATATTCTCGAATCATATACAAATATTCAATTTGACCGGTTTAATAATTATAGAGACTTTTAATTTTTAGGAATTTCAAATTTTGGCTTTGGATTTCCTGGGAGTATATTGGTATTCATTGAACATTCAGTATTGATAAAATTCATTTATTTATACAATATATTAACCGATATTTTTTCAGAATTTTACGACACCACCTATTGGCGATCGCATCGCATCAACAACTAACCAGACCAGTACGTCACAAACCAATCAAACATCACAAGCAAACAATTCATCATCAACCCCATCATCCACATCAGCAGGAGTTTCCACAACAACGCCATCATTTTCTGATCCAGATTTGTTTCGGCGGTTTCAACAAGCCATGCAACGATATCCTCAATATTTATCACGGCCGCACCAACAGACATTTTATCCGACATCATTGTTTGGTTCGCCTAATCCTTTCTTTATGAATATGCAACAATCATCTTTTGGGTATATGACTTTTAATTTTTTTCTTACATCAAATTAATTCTTATAACTAAATTTTGTATTACTGATTTTTATGGTAAAAAAAAAAAAGAGCGGCACAACCAACGACCATTCAACCTACAGAACCGCCGGAAATCAGATTTCGCTTACAACTCGAACGACTCGAAGAAATGGGTTTCGTGGATCAAGCAGCGAATATTCGCGCTTTGCTAGCCGCTGGTGGTGATGTGAACTCAGCCATCGAATGGCTCTTGCAAAATTCGAATTCATGAAGAATCAATTCAATCATTTTAATTATCGTTACTATTATTGTTGTAATTTTTTTATTTAAGAAACTATAAATAATAATAATAATGGTAATGATAATAATAATGAGAGTAATAATAATAGTGATCATTAAATATTGGGCGAGAGAGAAGGACTTTTGAAAATTTGAGGGCACATTAAATAAAAAGAAGTGAAGTAGCATTTTTGGAAACTATTGCAAATTTTTCTATTAACATATTACATATATATATACACACACCACACACACACACACAACTATTTTATTTAGGCTTTTTTATATAGCACACATGTTCATTCATAAACACACAACTTCTCTGATATAATATATATGTTTTTATGATTTCATTCCTTTACATCCTTTAAAAGTCAAGTACAATTACATCAACCACAACAGCACGCATCAATAAATCTTACCATATTACACGCTACCTTCTATATTACCTCCTATTACTACTGTATCATTAACATCACCTGTATTTTCGCCTACCCCTCATCATTCTCATTCTCACAATTTACTCTTAATTATTTGTTATTTTATTATATTTTCATGAACAAGGTGTTGTAATAATGATATTCCTCTAATCCAATCAATGCCAACATCATCGTGCGGTATCATCTTTTGTATATCAATTTAACAAAAAAGAAACAAAGGTACGATGATAATAAAAGAATATTATTTTGAACGCATTATTTCTCGCGTATACTGTAGATATTACGCATATACGTATATCTAAAATAATGTGATGGACCTCCAAATGTTTGCGATCTTCTCGGAAACTTCTGAGCTTTGTATTATCAAAAGAATGAGCTTACTCTTTTAATTTCGAACGAAAGACGCGCCATCACGGGCTCATCTTAAAGAAATTGTAATATCTTTTGTTAGCTAGTGATTAAGATGCTCTCATGCCTGATAGTCTGAAATATTTCATTAATTAATCCATGCAAGACTTTGGAGAAAAAGATAGCAGGGCCTACACAACAAATTTGACTGTCCTTATAGTGTGATTTTATTTTAATGATCCAATTTTAGCACCACATCAAATTATGCTGGTTGAATCGGTTAACAAGTTGATTGACGGCATGTAAAGAAGCATTTCTAAAAGATAACGTGAGAGATCGAATTGTCAAAAATACCAAGCGCCAGTTTAAGACTCCCGGACCAATAAAAAATTTAACTTGTATGACTGAAACCTAAAAAAAATCAATGTCCCTTAAAACTTTTATTTCGACACGGTTCCAGTCTCTACCTATCGCTTCAGCCGCGAGCATAACGCATACAATTTGCCAACAACAAATTATCAATGTAAATAACAGGGTATACTCTACAAATCTGTACGCTTTACAGTCGAAAACACCAATTTCAATAGCAACAATTTCACTATTAACGTTAACAAAAAAACCGCAGAATTCTATCGTCATTGCTCCTGCGATTCCCGCCACCTTCATTACATCACACTACCGTGTTCCACGTTCCACACCGCAGACACAACGCGAACAACGCCGTTTCCGCGCAGAATTTGCGCCCAGAAAGTGGAAATACCGAAAAAAGCATAAGGGCCGAGTTCCGGTACGTACAGGAGGCTCCACCAAAGGCAATTACTTGGCTTTTGGAGAATACGGAATACGCGTGAAATACGGGGTGAGATTATCCAGTGCGCAACTGACAGCCGCACATCATGCGATACGTCGAAAGATTAAAGTGGTCAAGGGATCAAAGATGTGGATGCGTGTGTTTCCCGATATTCCTGTGACCGCAAAGGGGAATGAGTCTCGTATGGGTAAAGGAAAAGGGTCGTTTGAGTATTGGGCGTGTCGGGTGCCGATGAATAAGATTCTTTTCGAGATTGGTGGTGGTGGGATTAGAAAGGAGGTTGCTAAGGAAGCTTTGAAATTGGCGGCCGATCGGTTACCGGTGAAAACTGAATTTGTAGATGGAAAATTGGAATCACCGTCACCAAAAAAAATAAAATTTCTAACATCATCGAAATCAACAACCAGTGCTGTTAATTCGGCTAAGTCACCAGCATCGACCACACCTATTCTGATAAAACCACCAGCAGCAGTGTCATCATCAGTTACTCAGAAACCGGTTGCAATTCCGAAAAAATAATACATCATGTTAAAAATCGTTTCTGTTTACGTATTTTGTTAAATGCGCATACACATTTCAAAATTCTAACTAAATAAATATAGTGTACAATAAATATTGCGTACAGTATATAAGCAAAAGATGAACCAAGACAAATAAACTAATAAATAGATCATTATCGTCATTTAATTCTCCTCCCAAGGCAATGAACCAAAATTAGGTAGTCTCAATGACGAAAATGTAAACCTTGTGCCCAAACTATTGGTATTCAGTGGTGGTATCATAACAGGGTTATCGATAGTATCATCAGAATTGGATCGTGATGATGTTGATGGAGGAGTTGTCGGTGCGCTGCGAACTTTGCCTGCATTATTAGTAGCTGTGGTATCGCTGGTAGTCGAAACATTTAAATCTAAACTCGAGGATGCATTACGAAAAGAGGGTTTGCTCACACTGGTCAACGCTTCATCAACTCCAAAGTTGGAGTATTCTGAGCGCGTTAATTGATTCTCAAATTGGTAAAGACGAAGTGCTGTCACTGCTTGAACATGTTGCTTTTCTAATGCGATGTCTACCGGAGCCTGGAAATCAAAAATATGATATAAAAATTATCACATCTTACATTTCATTCGATTCATATATTGCAAAAAAAAACTCACTTTATTATTATTATCTTTCAAAGTAATATTTGCGTGTCTCTTCATCAAAGTTAACAACAATCGCGCATTATTCATTGCTGCAGCATGATGCAGTCCGCTCCATCCGTCATTATCCACCGCATTAATATCACAGAACCATTGCAGTAAAAATTCCACAGCCACATCATCATTCCGTAAAATGGCTTGATGCAATGCGGTCGTGGAATTTTTTTCTTGATTTTTGTAATCAACGCTAGCGCCAAGAGATAAATATCGAAGCGCCTCGGCCAAGTCAGTTTTGTTCATGGCATCCCAAAATGCCTATTAATAATAACGATATGAAAATAAAACAGGATCAGACGGTGACATGATGTAATATATTTAGTATATATATTCTTTTGATAAAAACTAACCTGATGAATTGAAGGCACATTTGCGCCTTCTTGAGAGATAAATTCCTTTCTCACATATTTTGATATTATAAACTTTTCCCAATCAGCTCTAATTAAAATACAATTACAAATCATTAGTAATTACATATGACAAAAGTGTTAAGCCAATTATGATAAGATGAAAGAAAGATTCCTTATTCACCTATTTAGCTCGGAATCCAAATTAGTCAATTTTTGTTGACCTCCCTGTTCAATTCGGGCCTCAAAAATCTGATTCACCTTCTCATTCCCTAATTTAAGCATAACTTCAATCGCCTCAGGCTCCCATTTGTCCAGAGTTAACGATCGGACTTTACTCACGTGTACTCCGAGACTTCGATGAATACCCGAACATTCGATACATAATAGAGTACCAAAATTAGTGCTGGCCCATTGCGGATCTATATGTTATAAAAGATTACTGGGATTTAATTATTTAGGAATCATTACTATTGTTATTATCATAAACAGCATCCGTAAATATAGAGCGTATAGAGCTTTCTAGTACCGGAAGATTTGCAATCTACGCATATGTCATTTCCTGGTAATTCCATTATTTGTTGTATTGAGGGTCGATTGGTTTTCTGTAACGAATCACTGGTGCCGTTTTCAATGGAATGTCCGTTTCCATTGACTAGTTCATATTGCAAAAGTTCCTTTTATGTAAAAATAAAAAATTTATTAATTATAGAAAATAGCTGATTTAATATTTCGCTAAATAAATCTTTACAGTAAATCCTACCGAGTCGCCCTCAAAAGACGTCGGTGTTTGATCAGCATATATTGCTTCTTTAGCTGCCGTCTGGAGACATTTTACCCAGTCTTCCATTTCCTCTTGATTTTCAGCCTGCAACACATAAGTCCTAAACAAATTGATCATTAGACACTTAACGAATAATAAATTACAAACAAAATATAATTATATAACTGCTAATTAAAATACCTCATTGGAGAAATTATCTCGAAGCAAAATCGTCTATCGGAATTAACTACCGGTTTAATATGGCAAACTCTAAGATTTATCGAAAGGGAATCTTCGTCTTCTTTAGTGGATACCTTTTGATGTGACCATCATGATTCATTCCTTGAAAGTTATCAGCTAATACTTTTCTGAAACTTCAACACAACCAAAACTAACAATCCCTTAGGGGAGTGACAGATATTACTAATATAGGTTTATATAGACCGATAACCCACCTCAGATATAAATATTAAATCAGATGATAAGTCAGGTGATATTATATATTTTCCATATTAGGATTAGTGAACGTGACCCACCCATCAGATATTACGTAATATCTGTTACTCTCCCTTATGTCCATATAATTGATCAACACATACCTTGCCATTTCGGGTACATGAAGTCAGATATTCACCTTCAATGGTAAAGTAACGACGCGTCCATGTTTGAAGAACACGTTGACTTCCTTTTTTGAACAGGTAGCCGGATTTTTTGGACATTGGAGGAGCTAATGATTGGTTGTTACCGTCGGTTTGTAGACGTGTATAACCTTCATTTTTTAATTCTTTAGTTGCTGGTCGCATTGGATTGTAAGTTTCGTGTGCTGACTTTTTATAATATAAATAAAGACTATAAATAATTATGTCTTTGAAGATTGGGAAGAACTCCTATTATTGCATATACACCTCTATTAAAGTTTTCTTGAGCTCTTGAGATTCTATTAAATCATTATTGTATTGCGCGCGTGCCTAGTTTTGAAGATTCATGATAAGTCAATTGTTTTATAATGGAAGACTGATTATTCATTCATATCATCAATACCTCATGAAGCATTCCTGAAAAAAAAAAACAATTATGTAAATCATAAGAAGGTCGAACAATTAATTCTCTTAAAAAGATTTAGTTACTTGTCACATCCTTCATATATGGCTCTAGATCTTTCATTGTCTCGTAATTTTGGTGATAGAACGCTGACTCTGTGAACATTAATGCCAATATCTATTTGTAAAAAAGATATATGTGCGTATGATTTAATACTTTGGATTGTTATAAGGAAAGATTTACATTATTGCTATTGTTAATGTGTTTGGTATCTTACATATTCCATAAATTCGAATTTTTTTTTCGCGTGCAGCTGATTAAGTTTTGACACATATTCAAGGCACCGTCGATGGAATTCTCTTCGGGTATCTGTGACTTCAGCTGATGCCTTAAAATTAAGAGAAAACAGACAAAAGATTTTGATGAAATTCTTGTAAGAAATCTCTTTGGTAATTTGTTGGGTAGGCAATAAAGTTATTACCTCTGGAATCATCTGATCTTTTGGTCGTTTACTCATATACTTTGATAGCGCGTTGTCTGCTTCGTTACTTGCCTTTTCGAAATTTTTCTTGATTTCCTGATACAAAGAATCACGATTTACGCTTAGTCTTGTCCAAAAGTTTTGATTAATAAAGTTTATGCATCTTTTTTAAAAGGAAGCCAATGCATCAACTCACAAACCTTTAAAGGCGCTATTTCGTTTTTGTTAAATGATTCTAATGGCTCAATGAACATATCGTTCATGTGTAGATGCTTGAAAATACAAAAGATAAAAACTTAGAAAAGGAATTAAAAGTTAAATTGAACGTGGATATTCTTACGAGCATTTTTCGACTTCGTTCTACTTCTTGGAGAGATGATGAATATTTCTTAAGGACAGATCCTGAAATAATCGGTATCAAGAAAATCAATCAACACAGAGAATAGTTAAAATTAAAAAATTACCAAGACGCGAGTTATAAATTTAAACTTACTTATCAATGAATTAGGTTGTTGTTTGGCAAAGTTTCCAAGCTCTTGTGCGAACTGAAGCTGTTTGCTTGCATATTCTGGAAAAGATTAATCGAGATAACCCATAATCAATATCACAACAGCAAGAATATCTCAAATATATAATAATAAAAACAAAGATAGATGGAGAGAGATATAAGATCTTAATCACGAAAAATGTGTCCTCTCCCCCCCCCCCCAAAAAATCAGAATTTATTCTACCACTGGCAAGCTCCACGCTAGATTTCGCCAACTTCACGAGATTTTTTATCGTGTTCTCTAATCCGAAAACCGATTCTTCACATAATGCAAGCTCTCTACGAAATGCAGGTGAATCTTCCTGGCATAGTCGTAGGTTGAGTGGTGATGTCATTTTATTTTTGGAGAGAAATTGAAATAATTATGGTGATAATGATAGACTAAATGTTGGTTGGTTTTGTTAATATATTAACGATGCAATGATAAAGGTGTTAGAAATAATCTTGATCTTTAGGGAATAATTCCGCTATCCGGCATACTTTAGAAATTAAAAATAAAAAATTGTTAGATCGGAACCTTAACGAATTTTAATAAAGAGAAACTAAAACGCAAAGACGTGAAATTGATCAGATTCGCCTTTATTTCGTCCTGGGCACAATCAAATCACACCCAACCAAAAAATATACATGTTGATATAAATCGCGAACCATTTTATCAGCCTTCAGACATGTCAAACGACGACTGCAGCTTTCGACCTTAAATAATTTAAGATCTTGCTAACGGTCGGTGTCATGACTGAACAGCTGTTTGTGGTCGGAGGATAAGCAGCCCACTTGTATATAAGTCCGGTTACCAAAGATTACATCACTTCAATTTCATGTTTGTCTATTTCTTACCAAGACAATAAGACTAAGAAAGAAAGCTTCCCAAAGTAATTAGAAAAACTTACATGAGACAATAAAAATAACGTCGAGATAATGAATTAATTGTGAGAGTTGATTTGGATCAATGTAAATTGTTGGCCAATCAAAAAGCCCCGTACATGTCATACAATATATTCGAATTTCGAACATCTTTTCTTCCCCTCATTCTCTAATATGATATTTTCACTATACATAATCAATAAAGCAGGCGGTCTCATATATCAAAAGAATTTTAGTGAAGGACTAAAAAAGTTGACTGCCAATGAATATCTGGTGCTTGCTGGAACATTTCATAGGTATGGTATGCATAACGAAACTTTATACATGATACTATAAGAGAATATGATAATTGATTATTTAATTGATTTGGGATTTTTTTGATTTCTTTTGGAAAGTGTTCATGCTATAACATCGAAGATATCACCGGTTAGAAATGTTACTTCAAGTGGCCTAGAAGTACTAGAAGCTGATACATTCAAATTGTATTGTTATCAGACACTAACAGGTATATTTCGCTTTTCTTTTTTGCTTAATTTACTTTCTTTTATATATATATATATATAAATTATATACACGAGATACCATTCTGTATTTTATTCATGGCATTTTTTTCATTACACATATCATTAATATTCTGATTATTCTTTATTATTTAATGTTGCGGAAAACCATTTTTTTTTTCACTGCTTGCTATTTCTATTTTTTTCGGCCCAAATACAAAAGGCACAAAATTCCTAATAATCGCTGACTCCAATCACCCAAATATTGATCTCGTGTTGCGTCGTACCTATGACGTATACAGTGACTTTGTGATGAAGAATCCTTTTTATACGCCTGAAATGCCGATACGTAGTGAATTGTTTGATATGAATCTGGCGAAATTGATTAAACAAGTAGGAGGATAGATAGAATAAAGAGTAAAACAAAAAGGTTATAGCCGAAAAATCATTTTTAGCAGGATTGTGTGAACGATTGCTGTCTAAGAAAACTTTAAGGTTAATCGTGATGTGTGATGTGATGTTGGTTTTTTTTTATTTACGCCATATGCAAATAATAAATTTACCATCACAAAATCTTGCTGCGATATAAACATTTTTTACTATACTGTTGATGTGAGCATACGAAAATCAGATGGCACTCCATGGAAAAGTGCAACATTAATAATATGTTGTTGAGTTTGAATAAACATTTGGCTACTATCATCAGTCGTATCTGAAAATTGTGAAATTTATGCCAAGACAACTGAACCAACTTTTCTATCATTACTTACTCCCATATTCAGTGGATTAGTGCAGGTTTTGATGCATCGGGAGGAAGCTGAGTATGGACACGAATATGTCTCTTAGTCCGAATCTCTCGCTCACAATTTTTTCTTTGCTAGTTTCTTCCGTTGAGTCGTCTCATCTACATCATGCTTTTGTCGTCGCTGTTGCTTTTTTTGAGCGTCTCTAGGAAGGTGACTTTGTTAACAAGATCAACAGTAATCTTGTAGGGTTTTGGAAGAAAGTCGACATTGAATGTGTGAGATTTGATTTCTGTATTATCCTCAAAGCTAAGCAAGAAATCCGGAGCAGTTTATATTGGCAAATACGGACTCGAGAGTCCTTAATACAGTAATGGACATTATGATAGTGTCCAGATCTGTCCCAAAAAAATCACTTGAAGAGAAGTAGTTCCATTTAAATAAAGAGTTAGTAATTGATCTAAGTAATAAAGAGACAATTATATTGTTTAAATCTCATCTTTTTATATAGTTCTTCAAAGTTTTTTTCTCAACTACTTGTAAAATTTATTGTTGCAGAATCTTGTTCAAAAGTATAATGAACTTCTAGTTCTTGCAAATATCTTTTCTAAATTGAAAACTTCAAGCTACTTAATTATTATTTTCTAATTAAAATCATCTTTCAAACATTTTTAAATTATAATTCTAGATTTATATATTAATTTTTTTATAATATAACTTTTTTATTTCTATAAGTTGGATTTGTTTTGCTATAATAATTTAACTTATTAAATTAATCAAATTATAAATATTAATATATAAATAAAAAAAATTCAAAACAAATATTTATTTTTAAAAATAGAGTATAATAAATAAATTCAAATTTGATTTATGACTTAATTAATTTAATAAAAACTTTTTTCAAAATTTATTGTTTTAAAAAGAAAGTTTATAAAGATTTTTAAATAATTTATTTTATATTAAAATTAATTTTATTATTTAAAAAATTTATTAAAGATAAATTTATAAGAAATTTATAAGAAATTTATAAAAAATTAATAAAAAATAGATATTAGTTTAATTCTAATTCTAGCAAGTAATATATAGTAAAAATTATTAAAAAATATATTAAAATTTAGAAATTATATTAAATTATATATTAATAATTAATTAGTATTTTGATATTTAATAAGTTTATTATATAATATCTATTATTATAAGATATTTACTTTTAGTTAGCTTATATAAAATCTTATAACTTAAAAACTAATAATTATATAAAAAAAACTTTTTTACAAATTGATAGTTTTTTAGTAAAATTATAATTTTATAAGAAAAATTTTTATTTTAATTTATTTTCAAGAAGTTATAATAATTTAAAATTTTTTAATTTTTATAATAACTTATAAAATTAATATCAAAAATATAATAACTTTATATATAATTTACTTATATGCTTAAATTTTATTAATTAATATTAATTATAATTTGAGCTAGTATTAAACTTAACTAGGAATAATATAATAAAGTATATATTAGTTTATTCTTTTATAATATTAAAACTATTACTATTAAAATATAAAAAGTAATTGAGAGAAAAAATAATTATTACTTGTTTAGTTCAGCTAATAAATAAGAATTACTTTACTTTTTTTAATATTATTTTTGTTCTTTCTATAACTTATCTTAAAAATCTTATTAATTTTAATTTAGATAAAAAATATAAAAACATTAGTTTTAATAATAATATTAATAGCTTTAAAAAAATAATAATTTCTAAAAGAATAATAATGAATTTAATAATTAATTATCTTCTTATAATATTAGAAGTAAATTTTAAAAAAAATATTTAGTTATTTATATTAATAATTCAAGATAAATATAATAAAAAAAACAAGATATTAAGAGAGATAATAATAAAAAGTTCAAAAATTTTATAATTTTTCTATATTACTAAAATTTAATTATTAATTAATAAATTAGAATTAATTAAAAATAAATATATTTATAAAATGATCAAGTTTATAAATAATATAATACTGAATTAATCAAGTTAATTATTCAAAAAAAAAAATTTTTAAAAATTTATTTCATAATAAACTAATTTCTCTTTAATTAACTACTTATTTAAATTCAAAATAATTTTTATAATAGCCAAAAATTATTTTGAATAATATATTTTTTCAAATCTATCTGATATATTTTTATTCAAATAACTTATCAATAGATATATAAACTTGATTTTTATTATAAATATCTTTAAAAAATTATTTATATAAATAAATATAAATAGATAAATATTATTACTTATTATTAAATATTTTTTTAAAAATTATCAAACTTAATTAATTTATATTTAAGTAGATTATAAATATAAAACTATTTTATTAATAATTATAAATAAGATAAAAAATAACATGAATAGTTTCAATTTATAAATTTATAATTTTTATTATTTAAATAATATTTAGATTTAAAGTAAAAATATAAAATAAAGAAGATATATTTATAAAAAAAGAGATTAATATAAAATATAAATAAATTAATAATAATTAATTAAATAAAATATATATATTTAAAACAAAATTAACTATCTTAATTTGTATTTTTAATAATAGCTAATTATAATTAATAATTATAAATATAATAAATAATAATATAAATAAATAAGAAAAAAATAAATTAAAATAATAAGAAAATATTAATTAAAAATTTAATTAAAAATATTAATAAACTAAATTTGAAATTATGATTTATATAATAATTATCTGTATAATAATATATAAAATTTAATTAATTAAATATATTTATATATTTAATATAAAATTAATTTTCAAGAAAAGTAATATAAAAAATAATCTATTATATAAATAATATATAGTAATCATTAAAAATAATACAATACTTAAATTTTTTATTAATTATAATTAGTAAAATATATAATTTTTCTTACATATAAAGTTTTTAATTTTATTAATAAATATTTTTTATTTTTACCTCAAAAAATAGTTAAAATTCTCTAGTTTAATACATATTTTTTTTAGATTTTTTGGATTTTTTAATAGTAACTTCTTCTAATTATATATAAAGTCAATTAATTTTTACTAATTAATAATTAATAAAAATTAATTGACTTTATATATAATTAAAAGAAGTTATCATTAAAAAATTTGAAAAATCTGAAAAAAATATATTATTATTATTTTAAGTTTATGTATATATAAATATTTTAAAATAATAATAGTAACTATTATAACTAATTACTTATTTATATGATATAGTAGACATGGTGTAATATATAATATAGCTGCAGCACATGGTGTAGTAATTACTGATCATTACTAAATTGAACAAATAAGTAATTTTTATTAATTAATCTTATTTATAATTAATTCTATTTTTAATCTATATTATTATCTATATTTAGTCTTATTCAAATA